CAGCAATCCCCCAGATCCAACAGGAACCTTAATAACTTTCCCAACAACCCCATTTTGCAATGAGCCTCAGCAACCAGCAAGGCTCAGAGCTACAAGAGATTTAGACGCGGAAGCTGAAGAAAGAAGCAAAAGAAAAGGTTTTTGAGAACAAGAGAAATGAGATAACTTTGGGTTGGTGAATCAGGTGAGATTGGAAAAGGGAAGGATCCAATCCAAGCAACGGATCAGAAAACAGATTGACACGTGGCTAGTTGTGTGGTGGAGTGGTCAACGCTGTAACGTAAGCATCAAGTCTAAGTGTGGGATTTTTTCTTCTTGTGTTCATCAGTTTAGTTTGTTGCACTGTTTGCAATTGCACAATTGATGATCAATATTCGTAGAGGGCTTATTTGATCTCTGTGTGTGCGAAGATTTTATGGCAGGCCACAAAATAAAACCTGTGGCAAGCAGAGAAATTTGTAAAGAAAGAACAGGGGAGAGAAAAAACAGGGGACCTTGTTACTGTATATGTTAATAAAACAGTAAATTCATTGCATGTAAAGACTATTCCATTTCGAGCTCACATGGCACATCATGGTGTGAACTCTGGTTTGATGCATTTAGAGAAGGGAAACCTCTATTAATGTCCCTTACATTGTTGATTGAGCACAAACCCAACAATCTTCTCCAAATAGGCGGCGCCCAACTTTCAGCAACAGTTGAAAAGAGAAATGAAGAGAGGTGCAAACCACTGTACTATTCAAATATAGACTGTTGATGGGGGATTTTGGATCAACATCATTAGAGAGGCAAAACCACAATCACACACATAAAACACAGATTTTAGAGTGGTTCACCCGTAATCGGGCTACGTCCACTATGTTTGTATTTGCAATTCATATTTGAGATCTATACATAATACACTTTACATTGAGAGAAAGAGGCTTGAGAGCCTTAGTGAATGAGAGGGAGAAAATGGGAGAGTGGCAGCCGATCCTTCTTGTTCGTGGAGGTGATGAGCTTTTTGTTGTAGGCTTCCTTCAAGTAGTGGAGCTTTCTTTTATTTTCAGGCTTGAAGGCATGGCAAGTATGGATTATCCCTTGATTGGTGGGATTTCATTATGAGGGTAGGTGAGGTATTTGGGTTTAGTGTGCAAAAGGATAGCAACACAAAACCTCATTTTTCACCCCAAATAAACCTACTGCCTTGCACTTAAAGGCATAAATAATCTCATAATGAATGTTTCATTCTGAACTTAATTTTGTCACCAATATGTCATCTGTCTTTGACGCCTATCCTTTCTCCAATCCCATGGCTTCTCAGGGTTTGATGAAGCCCATAAACCAATTTGATTCCGCCGAGCCTCTTCTTCCCACTAGTATGATTGATACATGTATAAAATGTTACAAACTGAAAAATGATTATACTCTAAAAGTTTAAAATTATGTTAGTTTAACTTACAGTTTATGTAAAGGGATATTTGTTGAAATGTCACCTGAACTTATACATTAGTTTCAATTTGTCACATGAACAAAAAATTTAAGAAAAATGTTATCTGAATTTTTCAAAATCTATAATTTGTCATATGACTTTAACATCATCCAATTTTCCATCCATAATTCAGGGTATTTTAGTCCTTTCATTTTTCATTATACAAACCTTTCCTACCAAACATTAAAAAATTAAAAAATGCATTTTTTTCCCATCCCCTGTCGTCTCTCTATTCTCCCTCCCTCCCCAACCACACCTCCCCTCTCCTCTGTTTATTTTCTCCCCCCCCAAGCCCGGAGCATGGAGGGTGTGGGCTGCCATATCTGCCAAGCTGCAATCAAAACCACATTGACAGAAAAATGAATCGGTGATTCTTGTAAATTCTTTTGCAAACTAAATGAAATAAGAAACGGCAAAGGAGATTTAAAAGGTAAAGCAATCAATGTGCTGGATCACCTTGATGGAGCAGTGACATAGTAGGCAAGACCACCAACTGGATCACCTAAATGAAATATTTAGACTCCTGCCACTTCCCCAACAAATTCACGAAGAAATTCCCACCATACCTCCTGTAACTATGCAGAGAAATAGAGGAGAGGGGAGTTTTTTTTTGGTCTGGGGAGGTGTGGTTTTGATTGCACTATGCGCATCACCATCCCTTCCATGCTCAGGTCTTGGGGGAAGAAAAAAAAAACAGAGGAGAGGGGAGGGGTGGTTGGGGAGGGGGGGAGAATAGAGAGAGACGACAGGGGGGATGGAAAAAAAATGCATTTTTAAATCTTTTAATGTTTGGTAGGAAAGGCTTGTATAATGATTTTTTTTTTTTTTTTAAACACTCTAAAAATGAAAAGATTAAAATACCCTTAATTACGGATGGAAAATTGGATGATGTTAAAGTCAGATGATAAATTATATATTTTGAAAAGTTTAGGTGACATTTCTCTTAAAAAAAAATTTCAGGTGACAAATTGAAACTAAAGTATAAGTTCAGGTGACATTTCAACAAATATCCCTCGTGTAAATACAGAATTAATAATATGATTTTACTCACTCTTGCAAATTCAGAGCGCTGATCGTAGGCTGTGTAATGCCATGCAGCACCCTTCTTGAGCATTACTTCCTGTGCAAATATGCCATTGCAGTATACGTCAGCCACACAGCGGCCACAACGGTCTTCCCCATAGACAAGGACACTCAAGCACATGCCCTCAAGAAGCTTAACCAGCTCCTCTTTGGCTTCTTGTCCATACGGCATTAAAGTCTCCGGTGCGTCTATGCCCCTGTTTTCTCCCAAAATCAATCGACTTTCACTAGTAGAATAAATGCAGTGCAGTGCAGTTCAGCTAGTTGGAATACATAATTAAGCTGCAGAAAATTTTACCTCAGTCGAATTCGATACTTTCGAGCAAGGATCTCCTCGTTTTGAACATTCAGTACACTGAATGGAGGGGTAAAAGCAATCAGAAACTTGTGTTGAAAATGACTAATTAATGCAAGAAGAGAAACATATCAAAATATCCTACGTACCGATATCCAGCATCAATGATTTTTTGGTGAAGTTCATCTGCCTTAGTATAATTCTTATCAGCGCGTGCTTCTGATCTTTGGATGGCTGCTATCTGCACATCGCTCGGAACACAGGAGGATTCTCTGGGATCTGCTGTGCTGACATAAACTGTCACTCCATCGCCATCTGGAACAGCTTTTGCATCAATCTGGTTTCACCAAAATGATACACCTATCGGAACTAGTCTCTCCGGGCAAGCAATTGGTTTGGTTGTGGTGAAAATGAGTAATTGGAGAGCAAAATTGTTTTCATTACTGGTAGTGTCCGGAACTCAAACTTTACTCCTCGAGGCAATGAAGTTGGGACCCCAGCAGAAACTTTGACAAAGAGAATGGGGACGAGGGAGACCATAGAAATCCAATAAGCCCTGTAGATAAGCAATCACAAAAGAATATTTTATGCTACCATATTCCAAATTACAGTGGTGTTCTCTGAGCAACATGTAACAGATTGAATATTGTGGCAATGTACCTGAACATCAGCCTTTTTGTGTCCCTTGAGGGTTTGTATAACAAGCCTGGCTGCCTCTTCCTCTGTTCTTGGTGGTTGTTTTGCTTCTCTCCATGTCTCAACTAGTTTTCTATACCTTTATATATATGGACATAAATTTCTCAACGTCTGCTTTCTTCCCAATTGTAGAGTAATGAGACAGATAATTGCTTGCTGATTACCAGTTAGCTTGAGCCTTCTTGGATGAGACAACATGCTGACTGAGATCTTCTGGGACCTAATATCATTATGCATATATTTAGCTGACACATACAAATTGAATGAGAATTGAGAAACATTCAACATTACAATTTACAATCCACTAAGCAACAAAAGACTGTCAACAAAGTTCGAAAAGTTGGAAAAAAACATACTTGACAGGTGATCTCGAAGTTGAAAAGGTCGTAGGCAAGAGCCCAAATGCCGAGTGTGGCAGCAGAGATGCCGTGAGGGCCAAGCGACTCAGAGTCGCCGCCAGTGGCTGTTGGTTTACAGCAATGCCCCAATAGGAGGAACCTGAAGAACTTTCCCAGTAACCCCATTTTGCAAGTGCTCCTCCTAGGCACAGAGCTACAAGAAAATTCATTAGTTTAGGTTGTTACTGAAACTAAAACTCAATTGATCAATATTGTAGAGGTCTTATTTGATCTTCGTGAATATTGCACGGCAGGCCATAAAGCATGTCACATGATGAAGTGAAAGAATTCTACAAAGAAATTGAATGAAAAGAAAAAACAGGGGACCCTGTCTATTTAATAATATCAGTTCATCATCTTCATTGTCACATGTGTGAGCTCTGGTTTAATGAGTTTAGCTTCATCTTTACACTACCAGATACAATTTATAGAGCAGGGAAACATCCATTAATGTCACTTCACTTCCATTGTTGATTGTAACAATTTCAGCCCATAAAAAAAAGAAATTAGCCCAAACCCAATTTGTGGGGTTGCCCAGATTGGCCCCAATCATCAGTCTCTGAAAAATTGGTGCAATTTCAATTTCAATCCAAACCCAATTCGAGGTTGTGGGTAGAAACATCACCAAAGAGGTCTATTGACAGACACCCATTAGTCTCCTTTAGTTTGCCACTGTCCACTGAACAATGGATGACAGCAAAGAATTGGAAAGAAAAGATACGGATCTTTCTTTCACCAAAATTGACGGTTCTTTCTGCATTTCTTTGTGTGAACCGAATATTAACATTCAAAATCTGGGCCCTCCTTTGATGAATAAGCAGATAATAAAACAATATATTCCCAATCTTTGCCCCAACCAAACCCGGCAGCTTCATGATTTTTTTGCCGACCCAAACTAATATATGCAGAGGCCAGTTGCTGTCAGCAATCAAGAACAAAGTAGCTTTACACAAAGTGGAGAAATTAAAAAAAAAAGTTCCCACCAATCACGTAAAGAATCCAATACCTCCAAACTCAACACTGTTTGTTA